GAAACGTCAGGCGAATAAACGTATTTTCCCAGCGATCGAGTCTTCTTCTTCTTCTTCTTCTCAGATGTTACATCTGTCAACTAACAGTCAAACAGGTGGAAAACCATTTGTCAACGATCTCAATAAGGCTCTAGGACAAAGATGAAATTCCTACTGTAGATTACGGTTTCTAATATCCCGTTGCTTTGCCAGCACAGTCAGTAAATCAAAATGTTTAAGACACCAACTGAAATCCTGAACAGCCTTCTCAACTGTAAAAGACTCACATGAAAGCTTGTAACTGTGATAGAATTTAGCACGATTGAAAGCGACATAATTCACAACAACGTGATTCTACTTACATGTTTATATTTTTAGTCATCTCTGCGAGGCGCATCCAAAATATTGCCACTTAAATAATAACCTCATTTCTTAGTGGTTTTCATCCTCTATAGGAGTACTATCGTCCAGCTTAGAATGAAGAAAATAATTTATCTTAGTATGGCCTTTTGTGAAAACAAGGGCTTATCAGCCTTGTATTTGGGATCAAGTTTTTATCTTAAAGAAAATTTTACAAATATTACAGTAAATGCATTGCCGGTATGATTATCCGTATAGTTTAATTCCTTAAAGTAAACTATCAATGTTTCCAAGCTTTGCAAAGTGGTGCATTTTCAGTGAAAGTTATATAAACGTCCTGAGGTCCGCTTCGTGAAAAGTAAGTAGCGACATTAGGTTGCTTTAGGCAAGCTTCATATCACCCAAACGGAATCTGGTAAGAGCAATCAGAAGCCTTTGTTTTCTTGTCTAATGTTGCAATAAAGATAGTAATCGGTTTCAAAAACAAAAGAAACTCCCTCTTCAAGTAAAAAATCAGGATAAAACCGATTTTTGAGTATAATAAACATAATTAGTTACCTGTTTCGCAGGTTTCTAGGAAATTTGATTTAATCTGCATGGAGATCCAACCACCATTTATGCTTACTTCTTTTAGATTTAGGCGAAGATTAAACGACACTGCCCTGAGGAAAATGCCAAAATTTGGTATTTATTTCTACAAAATATGTAGAAAATATTTTGTCTCAGAACATCTTTAGGGCTCGGTTTATTACCAAAGGCAGAGCTGTTCAAGTAAATATGGCTAGATCCGTTCAGTCTTGCTATTTCACACCCGAACACATGTGATAACGCAAGCCTTCGTGTTCACGTGATTCCTCCCGTGATTGGATATTACTAGAAGTGCAGAAGGCTTGACCGACTGACCTTTTCGTAAGCTAGACTTGTTTTTTTCCTTCACGTAAACCAGCGGGTATTAAAAGCACAAAACACTTTTTTTTCAAAACACCGGAAGCGATCTCACCTTTACGTTACTGTTTTGCCTGTCTGTGAAATTTATGTCCGAAAATTGGGTACATCCTTTAACTAGCTTCAGGTTTTCCTTATCATCTGAAAAATTAATCTTCTACATTGAAGTAAATCCTTCTTTACAAATATTTTAAAAATCTTTACAAATGTTTGACTGCATTTTGGCTCAGTGTGTAGTTGCAGTTTGGTGGCTGTTGCCAATTTTGTAGATTAAAATGGATATAAAAAGATCAGGACTGCGTTCGACAGTTTCAAGGGTTCGTGAAGCGAGGAGAGCTATTATCTGAAACCCTCTTTCTCACATGCCACTATTTGACAATATCTTATGGACGCGAGATTTCCTCTGACGATAAAAGTGTAGAACCTACAATTTCCAGAGACCGTTCTAGAGACAGATTATTATTGTCAACAATAGTATCTGGAGTCCATCACCTTTGCGAAAAAATAATGTTTAACGTACTTGATGACAATTCGCAACACATTGTACCTACTGGCAAACTAACCCTATGTTCCTGTGATGGCCAATTTTAAAGTAGGCGTAAGTTTAACGGTTAAGAGAACCAATCAATCTAAACGTAGTGGCATCATTTCACGCTATCGTTATTGGGAAGTGTGGAAGTTCTGTACCTGTCGTAATACTCCACTCTTCAGTCCAGATTATCCTCGCTGATAATGTACCCATGGCGGCCAACGCGCGCACATACCGATGCCCAGCCTTTGGCCCCGCGCGACTGGGGCGCACATACGCACTTCAGTCGGTTCTGGCTTATAAACATTCCCGGTCTGACCAATCACCTTCAAGGCTAACTAAGACAAAGACCGCTCTTGGTGGCCGCTGGGTTGACTGCCGCCAGGCTATGCCTTCGGAAAGTGCCCCGCTCAGGTGCAGACCTACGCACATCCGAAGTCGATTTTTTCCTAGCTATTATCCACTCCACCTGTACAGAATAAACTATTCCTACCACTCTGGGCCCCGGCCGACTTTTCTTTCCCTAAGGAATCGGGCCTGAAGATCGCAACTGCTAGGATTGACTTTATTAACCTTAATTCCTCGATAGTCTCAATTTCATTAATGCAGACACAGGATACCTCAGGAAACTGTGCTTCATAGTGCGACTACTAAGAATAACTCACCTGCTCCTGATGGGTGATCCAGTCTGGATATCCGGGTACGCGATTAGCATACAGCACTTCAAAAACATACTTGGTTCACCCATAAATATAAAGTTTTTTATATTTTTTGTAGAAATGTTATTTTTACCGTTTTAATTCATCTTTCAACACATTGTGTTTAGCATTCATAGCAGATAGACAGCATATAGGCTAAGGAGGAGAGGCAGACATTTTAACATGCATTCGGGGAAAGAACAGGAATGAGGGTTCACAATTGCTTCCGTTACTTCCGCCCGGAAAATTCATGCAATGAAGTTAAAAATATTGTTTACCATGATTTCGGTAAAAGAAGACTAAGCGGAGGGGAGATGATTGAGCATACACGGCAGTAATGTTCATGACATATGGTAATCGGCTGGTATCATCCGATAATACAGAATTGTACAAATGATGCCAAGATATTTTTTTAGTTTAGATACGAAATGCAGCACCATACCACAACGTGCATACACCACTGGGATGCTGGAACTGTATACAAACCGTTGTGGCATACAATAAAAAAAATCAAATTGACACATGTTAAAAATGTCCATCGGCCGCATTAGGGGCTTGTAGGTTCCCGGGATTTTTCGCAGACCTAAAGGACGGACTACAAGCCTAAACAGATGTCTGTGCCTGCAGACCAATGGGTAACCACTTTTCTGAAGTAACGGCTGCCAAAGCCGTCTTCGGGCTGGATTCGGTCCGATTGGCTTGACGTTTCTTCCTTCGGAAGCCACCTTCAATTTGCTTTCCAGAGTAGAAGCACTCTAAGGGTTTCAACTTCGGCAGGAGTTCAAATAGTTTTGCTAAGTGCTGTGCATTGGCTTCAAATTCCCCGATTTCATACTTCAGATAGCTGAGTTCGTTGGACCGACTCGTGTTAAGTGTCTTTAGTTCCTCCAAACGGCGATCGATTTCCATCCTAGTTCCTGCCTCCTTTATTGCTTTGAATCGGGCTGCGCCATCACTGTCAGTGCCTAATTCAGGTCCGGTATTCGCTACAATGTAATGAATTTTACGAATGGTTAGTATAGAATGAGAAGGTAAGGCGATATCAATATGCATACATACATATATCGATAGTTCGACCGTCGATTTCGACGATATCCACTAGGAGTTCCAACGAGTTGAAGCACGAGGTGAATGTGGCTGATTATAGTGAGCGCAAACACGCTAGGTCCACCCCACTCTCTAACCACCCCGCATCTAATTCCGGTTGTCAAGACAGAGTCAAGAAGGCCGGAAATGTGGGAGGACGCAGACGGCCGGTGCGACAAATACTCAACAGGAGTACCAACAGCATGTCTCGCTAGGTATTCTCCCGACAGGGACTGCCATAAAAACCGCATAAAGAAGAAACCATTGAATCTGACTCTCAGCCCGCAGACAGCCACATCACACAATAAGACACACTGGACCTACTGCGGTGTCCGAGTTAACCCACCAGCTGGCAACCCTCCAAGCCACGGCTTTTAACGCACCGCGAATTATAGGGGGAAAGAAACGCGCCGAGGGTCGACCTCACACTCTCCTCAACCGCCAGCAACAAGCAACCGCCTAGCTGTCGGTCGCCTGAGATTGGATGGGTACAACGCTGAATATACGTAAATACATATACATATATCGTAAAAATATTTTAGAGCAACGGAAAAACAGCGAAGAAAGGACACTTACTTATTTTATCTTTAAGTTCATTCATCCTCTTCAGAAGAGACAGGACGTCATTTGTTAGGGCGTCCACTTCGCGTGATGTCTTCTTCCCTAATTCAATGACCTCCTTGGCTCCGGGTTCAACCTCCTTAAATTGCGAATCACTGCTGTCCACCTTTGGTTGCACCTCACGGTAGGTGCGGTCTGCAATGGTTTTTTTCTGTTGCTCTAACATCTCAGTCTCCTTTAGCTGAGATTTCATCTAAATGGCCAAAAAGCAAGTATGTATTAAGTTTGCGGGAGAAAATACTTGCGGCCTTTGGTTTCAAATAGGGCATCTATTTCCGATTATATTTGTGTAAGCTTAATATGTCGAAACGTTTTAACCTGTGGTCTCTTTCCGAGGGCCCCACTCCACTCCACTCCACGAACTCGAATCATTTCCTTCCACCATTGAAGTCACATATTTATTGACTG